ATCTGCTTGGTCACAAATGCCATAATTACAATGAAAAAAAAAAAATGAATGTGAGTACCAGTATGGCTTAGGCGGCGAGACACTAATGGTCACTTATACGCCATGCTGGTCAACTCTGTGCCGCCAACACGCGGCAATTACGAACATCAACTCCCAGTTGTTTACCAAAAGCTTCTCGTTTTCTCTTAAGCTGCTTTGCTATGATCTTTATGTAGATATTTAATATTTTTTTTTGCGTATTTACACCCACAAAATAAAACGCAAGTAACCCTGTCGGGAATTTCGTAGTGGACTATTAAAATAGCTAACTTTTGACTGGTCGTCAAAGTCATCCATTGTTAAAGCGAAGAAATATTTACAATTTGTAAAACTTTTTCCACAATTTTCTCTGTTAACAGAAAAAAAACGATTGTATAAAAAGAAAAAAAAAATTGTAAACTCACGGCAAAAGTATTGCCCCGGATAATTTTCACACAATATATGCAACAAGTTTTATTTTAATTTCTTTCCGTTCATGGTACAACAAAAAAACATAAAAATATATTTTCTAAACTCAGGAATATTTCATAAATTCTCATGCAAACTTTAAACTTTTCAATCAGTTTATTAAGAAGCTTTTTGAGTATACATTGCCCATTAAATTTATAGAATTTTCCTGAGTTTTGCACAAAGTTAAGAAAGTATATTTTTATATGTTTTTTTTTTGTTGTAGAATGAACCATATAGTAGAAGATCCGATTGAGGCACGACCTTGACCCATCTGCTTAATGGATGTTAGGAAATATTTGGCGAGTGGGTTGGCTAAAAAATCTTGGCAAGGATATTTTTAATTAAATATTCAAAAATTAATTATTTTTAAATTTTGACTCTTTTCTTTAATGAACATATTAATCGAAACAGATGAGTGAAGATTATTAGTATTACTTACCTGTTCATAACTGCCAACTTGATAGATAGGCCAGGAAAAAAATTGACAAACCAACGTTTTCACATTCTATGGGCTTAATGTTTTCGATTGTTGTACAGTTTCTTCATTAAACAAAGGAGTGCAATAAAAAATACGTATGTTATTTTTGAATATTTAATTAAAAATATACTGGACAGGAATTTTTCAGCCAACCCACTCGCCAAATATTTTCTAACACGTTAAATTTCATACAAAATACATTTGAAACTATCATGTAAACAGATGGAGGTCGTGCCTTATTCGGGTCTTAAAAAAATCTGCAGAAAAAAATAAAAATTGTTGCAAATATTGTGAAAAATTCTCTGTACCGTGTTGCCGTGAGTGTATGTAGAAATAAAAAAACCGAAAGTCTCAAAAACATTCAACTGATTGGCAGACTATAAGTTAACTTATAAATAACCAAATTGTACTTAGCTGAAAACATGCAAAAGTAGTCAGTTAAAATTGACTTAAAACAGTCGAGGCGTAGTTAAAAAATAGTCAACTTATAGCGCATTTATAGTTAGGCGAGTTCCCTACAGGGAATTATGCAAAACGTGGAATGCAAATGTATGTAAATATATACATAAGTGTATGAACATTCATACAATTTCAAGAATTTGTGTGCGAATACTGAGTACTTATATAATACGCATCAACTTACAAATGCCTGTAAAGGACTTAAAGTTATATAAAGGTTGGCAGTAATTTTTTTCCTCATAATAGTTAATGCACTTTTGAACTTCAATGCGATGACAAGTTATTCTTTAGTGCGTCTTTTCAAAAAGAGGACTCGTTGTTTTCATTTCGCTTCCATCAGCAGCAATTATCACCAGGCTGTCGTGGATAGCGTACACCGCACTTATGTATTTTACTCATATGATTCTTTACAGCCAATTTCACGAAAGCAATTTAACTGAAATATGATTTTAATTTTTTGAATCTTATATAGAAATTTACAGAAAATAAAAATTCATTTTCGTTCGTTCAAAACCAAGAACACCATTGAAAAGGTATTTTTCTGTAGGTGAAGAAAGTTTTTATCGTTTAAAAATTTTGTTGAAAATAACGGCTAAAATCGTAGTTTAAAAATTTCCCTATTTGTGTATAGTTGTTGTTGCAACCTGTTCAATTTGAGTTGTTTTCGCACTATATTTTACTCGTATTTGAAATTAAGCTTTGAAATAAAGATAAATGTGATTATTAAGATGTAAATGATAAAAACGATTGAGACAAAAAAGCGAAGGCAAGTGAGCTATCGATATATATCTCTATATATAAATTTTTTAGTCATAGAAATTTATAGAGCCCTCTATTTTTAGGATTATCGAAAAATATCGAAATTAGTCGAGTTATCGCATTTTGTGAGTTATCGGGTTCTAGTGCATTTGAAGTTTATCGAATTATGGATATGTATTAAATTATCAATATATATCAACAAAAGGCATGTATCGGGTCAATTCCAACACGTTACCTTTAAGCGAAGAGCCTCACTATCCAAGAAGGTAGGGCCATAGATCACTTGACCAGATCCCTAGCTTACGCATGTGGCGTACCATTCTATGGCAGGTTTATGAGTTACCTGCATCTCTTTAGATTGTACTCTCTACTAAGCTCTGAGCTTGAATCAAGCTATTTCGGCAATGCAATTCGCTCAGTTTAGTATTTTCCTTTAAAGTCAGGTTCTATCGGGGTCGAGGCAGCAGCCATTTCGGCTAATTGACTAGCTTCCTTATTTCCTTCGACTTCCATGTACCCTGGTAACCACATCAGTTGGATAACAGTGCTCTCAGCAAGGGCATACAGCTTACCTTTACACATTAGCACCAAAGAGGAGTATTCTGCCAAAATTTCTCTCCTACCGGCGCGCCATCAACAGCGATACAAAGTACCCTAAAATATTCTAGTTTTTCAAATAACGAAAAAATAACTAAATAGCTATCTCGCTCTTGCTTTCCGCCTTTAAGTATTCGTGTAGCAAACTATGTATATAAATTAAAAAAAATTTGCGTTTCAAAAAGAACACCCCTAGGATACGTAAGCACGTTTTCATACACGGTTTATTTACCATTATTTTATGGCTTTAATGCATGCAGCTCCAGACGGAGTGTTAATTTTTTTAACGAACTTACTTATTAAGTAATTTTTGCTGCGCACAGAAAGAAAATTTTTATCTATATATATAAAATTAAGTGGCAAAACTTCCTGTTCGCATACTCCTCCTAGACGGCTTGCCCGATATCAAAGAAATTTTCAGGGGTGATTGGGGTCTGTGTGGAGGGTGCACATAAGAAATTTCATGTGTGTA